AGGAAGGCGGCCTGAGGGCGCTGCCCCCTCCGGCTGGGCACCGGTGCCCGCTGTGGAAGTGACTTCTGAAAGACGAACGCCTCGCGGGTGTGGGAGGGCTGAAGGTGTACTTTTCGGCCACGCGCGCGTCCGTTCTCTGCTTACGCTTGTGGCTTTTCTGTTTTTGCAAGTATGAAATGGGTGTGCAAGGATCTCGGCACTCAGTGCTCATAGAAAGGACCGTGCTTAGTGCCTAATGTTACTGTTGCTTCCGAAAGACACTCACTTATCTGCCATCAGTTCCTCATGGCGCAGCTTTCAGGCTCAAGATGTGAGCTTGATCCTGTCTATCTCCACAAACACCGGTCTCTGGGCCTGAAATTGGAATGTCTCTCTTTGCCAGTGGGCTTAATAATCAAATGCTTTCCTGGGAGATGAAAGATGTGGAGCAAAGTGGCACATTCCCATCTATAGTTCTGGGGCAATGCCCAAATTTTCTGTTGTGGTAGCACTGACTCTCTGCCCTCTTTCTCTCTCCAGAACAAGAAAAGAGAATTACCCCAATAATTGTGTATCCAACACAAAAGACGACATCAGCTGCTCTCGGTATGGCCCAACATTATTTCTGGAAACATCTAATCAGGCAAAAATTAGAGCAGGTCCTCTTCTGGTGTAATTTGTTGGCACAAATTGTTGTAGCTCTTTTGATCTCGATTATGTTAGCTGAGGGTTGGTGCTGGAAGTAGTTTTTGCATCTTACTGTCTACAACTAGATGCTGTCTTCCATGTAGGAGGAGCTGTAGAAATGCTGTAGATTTTAGCCACTAACAAAGCGAGAAAAGCACGTTTGCACCCTTAGATCAGCTGCTCAGAGTCCCCCTCCACTAAGAACTATTCGTTTTCAATCTTCCCTCAAATTGGTCTAGGTTATCCGGTGGCTTTGAATGAGCCGGCTAGCTCTTTTGGGAGGAGACATTTTTTCATTGCTTTTTACTGTTTGAACTAGACAGTTGTTAGTTAGAAAGTACCTTGATAGGATCTCAATTTTTCTTTGAAGATTATATTGTGACAACAAATTTCTGCTGCATTTCCTCTTCTCAGAAAACGCCAGGTATACACTAAGCTTTTTTAACTTGGGTACTATACACACAGCTGTGTCCTATGATGTCTTAGTTTTCCCTTGCCACTTTTCTTTCCATCAGCGTAGGACTACCAAGTCATTTTTTTGCCTATCTAGCTCCATGGAGTGTTTTATATCCCGTTTATCACCATCTGCACAGATAGAATAATAAAATCATATGCATTTTTGAGCCCTGTGTTTTCCATATCATATAGATACGCACCAGTCTGAAGGCTCTTTATCCTTAGCTCTGAGTTACAATAATTACAGCAAAATTTCTGAATTTTTGCACGATCACTTTATCTCTGGAGCTCCCACCTTGAGCTGAATGCCCTTGCCCACAGCACCTCTGAGTGAAGCTACACTGTTGGTTAATGCAGTTGCTCCGGAGTGGTAAATCACAGCGTGCCCTTTGGGCTGCAGTACATGAGAAGGAGCGAGGCCACAAGAACACAGCTTTGCCTCCTGAGGAGTGTGTCTAGTACAAGAGTTGCTAACTGTTGCAATGGGAAAATAATTTGGTCAGCAGCAGAAAGGACTGCCAAACTGAAGGGTCTTGCTGCCAAGGAGTAGGGGATCAAAAGCAATCTGGGGCTTAGCTTCAGTTTTGAAGGTAGTGGTGCTTGACGTGTGTGGGAACTTGATCTCCCACTGGAGATGTTGGTTTTCACCAAGAGAAAGAGTAGTTCTTCATATGTATCCAAATGGTTTTTTAATCTTTCTTTTACCAACAGGCTCCAAGATGACTCTCCCATGCAAAGTGTTAGTTGGACCAAGCAGCCACGTCCATACCGATGTGGAATGGCTAGCAAATGACACCACCGTGGACGTGGTTTACAAGCAAAGCAGAGTTACAGAGGGAGAACGACAGTAAGTCTGGCTGAAAGTATTTCCTTGTGCTTGTTGTTTTAACCTGCAGTGTTACAGAGGCTCTCAGTGCAGCTGAATGCCAGGTAATGAAATGGGATATGGACAGATCTGAAGTGAAGGTGAGAGCTGAGAAAAAAACCCAGGCACGCAAGCAAAAAAAAACCCAAACCCAACCCAGGCAGGGTGAAATCAATTCTTTATCTAGGCTTAAACTTGAAGCACGTTTTCATGGGCAGCTGAGCTGATGTAAGAGCTGACTGCAGTGGAAAGCAATGGGACTTGATCCTTCCCAGAGCTTATGGACAGATCTGAAGTGAAGGTGAGAGCTGAGAAAAAAACCCAGGCACGCAAGCAAAAAAAAACCCAAACCCAACCCAGGCAGGGTGAAATCAATTCTTTATCTAGGCTTAAACTTGAAGCACGTTTTCATGGGCAGCTGAGCTGATGTAAGAGCTGACTGCAGTGGAAAGCAATGGGACTTGATCCTTCCCAGAGCTTCTCTTATCTCTCTCCTTCCCGTTGCCAGTTGACACGGCAACATCCTCTCCCTGTCATTCATGAAGTTCTCTGAACACACTAAGACAACAGAAAACTATCCAGTGGTTTTTATTTTTATTTTTTTAAATATAATTGTTTTTCCCCTTAGGCTTGTTCTTTTCCATATTAGTGAGTTAAACTGACTCACAGAGACGCCCAGTGAGTGCTAGAGCTGGCGCCAGGGAAGCACTGGGGGGGATGCTGGTGGGAGGGAGAAGCAGGATGTCCCACATCCTCTTGCTCTGATCCATTGTCTCTCCCAATCTTGTGGAGCCTTTTCTCAGCTGCCTCATAGCTGCATGCCTCAAGGCTTTTACTGCTAGGAAAGGAGGGAAAAGATCACAGAATCATAGAACCATAGAATGGTTTGGGTTGGAAGAGACCTTAAAGATCATCTAGTTCCAACCCCGCTGTCATGGGTCCGGACACCTTCCACTAGACCAGGTTGCTCAGAGCCCCATCCAACCTGGCCTTGAACACTTCCAGGGATGGGGCATCCACAACTTCCCTGGGCAACCTATTCCAGTGCCTCACCACCCTCATAGTGAAGAATTTCTTCCTTATATCTAATCTAAATCTACCCTCTTTCAGTATAAAGCCATTACCCCTTGTCCTATCACTACATGCCCTTGTAAAAAGTCCCTCTCCAGCTTTCTTGTAGGCCCCCTTCAGGTAGTGGAAGGCTGTAATAAGGTCTCCCCGGAGTCTTCTCCAGGCTGAACAAGCCCCACTCTCTCAGCCTGTCTTTATAGGAGAGGTGTTCCATCCCTCTGATCATTTTCATGGCCCTCCTCTGGACCCGCTCCAACAGGTCCATGTCCTTCTTATGTTGGGGGACCCAGAGATGAACGCAGCACTCCAGGTGGGGTCTCATGA